TCGCCTAGTGAATTTGGAACTCTGTCCTGCATACGATGATATTCTCTTGTGACAGCTCCTTGATTGTTATGATATCGGTCAGCAGATGGTTGGTATTCGGAACTCAGTAAATCTCCCATTGCTTTATGTAAATTATAACCAATATGTCGATTATGATGAACAACAGTCACACGCTCATCCTTTCTTATCTGTTCCTCTAGTTTTGAACCAATTTTCGTATTTACACCTACAACCAATATTCCATGTTTTGCCTTGGAAAAAAGAAGCACACTGAATGATATAGACTCCTCGCAAACAATTCTTCGCCGATCAGACCTACTATTGGGCGTATCGTGCGTAAACATTATGAAGGTTCTAACAAAAATGGTTAAGGCACCTCCTTGTCGCCGTACATAACATATACTTATATTCTTTTTCTTCGAAAAGCAAATCAATGCAGACGTATGCGTGTCAGATTCATCCCATTTGAACATTTCTACCTTCGTTCTTCAAAACTAGGATAAAAGTGTATGAAAGGCTGTTCAAAGAACAGCTCTAGCAGAGCCAGGCTGTGTCTTTCTTCATAAAACAGATATACAGGTGCCCAGCACCAGCAGAGGATTAGGGTTTCACCAAGAGGAGGGATGATATTTTCAGTGTTGACGGGTCGCGGATGGAGCACGTTTTAAAGAGTATCGTCAAGCTATAGCGATAACTTAACATAGATCGGATCATTACCATCCCCAGGAGGCCTGGAAGTAGGTGCGTAATTTGAGCCAATTGATGAGAGTTCAAGTGTCTAACTTACGTTTTTTTTCTACGAAACTAGGCAGTAAGGGAGCATTTCAAAATTCTTTACTCTTTTATTTGCTGCTTTACTCCTTTTCTACTTTATAGACGTCGCTATATTTGTGCGAAGCCTGTGCGATGAATGCGCAAGCAAGAAAAGAGAGAACGAAGAAAACAGTAGAGAAGCAAAAGGGAGAAACAGGAAAGTAATAAAAGAGTAAAGAATTTCAAATCTCCCTTACACAAAAATTAAAAATATTTTCATATACTTACATTGGAATTATTCATATCTGTTATTAGTTTTTCATATTGTGCTTTAGGTAATCGTTGTTCACTATCAACTTCATATAATTTAGCATCAACAACAAAAATTTGATAGCCTTGAGAGTCTATCAAATGGCTGGTGTATTATTTACTTCTAAACAGTACATCCAACCCTTTTTAATCCTGTGCTCAGTTTTCTTCGCTATTCGTCTTTACTACTTTTCTTGACACTCTATACTCTAATCGAGTTATAAACTCTGTTTTTCTATACTAACTTTGTGGTTAAATATTTTCCTTGTTTCTTCAAAATTATACTTGTTGCTGTTGGATATAGTCGAACAAAATTATGTTTCTTAACACTGAGGGGGAGATTACTGATGTGTATTGAGTTCATGTCTAATATAAATTCATCGTCTGACGAGTTTGCAATTGTTGCCAGTGTTCGATTTATCTGATTTTCAATTTCTCGTTCCTGATATAGACAATTAAGTTCCAGATCATTTTGAGTACATGCAATATTACTAGTTTCCAGATTGTTCGATAGCGACCAAGAAGTGTTATCATCATATGATGATGAAGTCATGGTTGCCTCTCGAATCCACGATAAATCAAAATCCAAATTATCTATTTCAGCAATATCACATTCTTCGAGTTGCAATAACTCTTCTAAACAATTTTGACTATCACGAAGTAACATATTATTAATAAACTCATCTTCATCTTGACAATCATGAAGTAATTGTCTGAAAAGGAGTATCATGCAATTATGACTGCAGCTGTTTTATATAACATCCAGTCTCAGACGTAATATAGAGCGATAATAATCATTTGTCTAACTTTGAGTGTTCAACTCATGCTGACTTGATAGACTTGACTTCTATTCCATACTTGACTTCGAAACACGTAGTCACTATGATAAACTTTTCTGAATGGTCAAAAGCTATAGCAACTGCTTCTGTAAACTAAGGTGAAAAATATGGACTTTCTCATCGCAAAAACTATCCATCAATTCTCTAGTAACAAGATCGAGTTACAACAGAATGAATAATAATTCCGACAGTACATTCATTCGACTTACAGGCAATGGACTTAGTGAATCGATGCGATTCACGTTATTTATGCAATAATATAAAGTTTAACAAATATTATATGGTAAAAATTGGTAGTAAAAAATGGCGAACGAGGAGAAAAAGCAGTAGTGTCCATATAAAAACAGTTTTTCGCTCGTTTTTCGAAAAGTAGACTTTGCACCAAATGAAAAGTGACCCGATTTGCTCTAAAGATTTTGGACGTTCCTGTAGAACAGGAATTAAGCTAATATTGTAGTGCAGAATGAACATCGAACTTACCTAGCGGCTCCGATATCTTCAATGTTATCCATTTTCTCGCAGAAATCGATGGTGTAAGTAAATCGATTTAACTAAATAAGAACATGGTTTATTTCTCAGCATATTACTATAGGTTGCGGATGTTCGGTTCTCGGTTCTGGAACCGAAATGGCGGCTCCGGTTCTCGAGTTAGAACCGAACCGAAAAAAACCGCCCTAGAGAACGTACTTGATGCAAATACTTGGCCCCAAGTACGTTCTCTAGGGCGCGGTACAGATTCTCGACTTAGAACTAAAACAAAAAGAACCGCAGTTCCGTTTAAAAACGCGGTTCTCAGTTGTCAGAACCGGAGAAGAACTTTTCAGGCAGTAACAATTCAACAAAATAAAATTCATTTTATAGTAAACGAAAGAATTCTTTCAAATAATGGCAGGCAAATATATCTTTTTGCAGCTTTCTCAATAGTGTGTTTTCATTTTGTTAAAAGAAAGGCAAGACAAAAAGATTACGGATACAAGGACAATTTTCTTCTATAGTATTTATAGTAGAATTTAACATAAATATTCTCAAGATCTTTGCAGGACTTTTTTTCTGACGAAATCCCATAGATGTGCGAAAAACGCAATATCCTGAGAACGAATAAAATCTCGAGAAAAGATAACTTTTTTCGTGCCGTTATGACCAGTCTAACGACATAATAATATTGGCTTTATCTCTTATCAAGGAAGAGTCGATGGGTTTGCCAGGTATAAAAGATCTCATGTAAAAGAAGTTGCGCACAAGTACCCAGATCGATTTTCGTGCGACAGTCGCAGCACGACTCGCGCTAAAACGTCGCGGCGCGAACGTGCAACGCGATCGCTATTAGACTTGTGAAATAAGACGCGATTTTAGCGATCGCTATAAGGTCTTGCTAGTTATATAAGAAAAGCGCGTTCTCGCGGCACAAATCGTGACACGAGTTAGCAACAGTCATGATCAGTCGCGTCGTGAATCCTATTATGCAGACCGGTTCTGCAAAATTCATGCATAGTCGCGCCAGATTTTTTCTGTTCCTAGTTTCACCCTATTTTTTGCTCGTTTGACAATTTTCCAGAAACAGAATTTGCCTACAGTGTTTTAAGAAGAGTGCGTCCATCTCATCTCTGCTTTCAAGATTTGAATCTCTTCAAAGACATCCTCTTAGATTTATCCGAACAAAAATAGCTTCTTCAGATCATTTCAGACCTCAATGTATACAGTACTGTTTTCTTGCTTGCAGTATCAGCCAGCCTTGTGATAAAGCTGCCTCGAGTATATCAGCTTTTCTTCTTTGCTACATGTTCATTTAACATTATTTACGATAAATCACAGTAAAATCATCACCATGTTTTACCGGCTTACTCTTCGGAACAAGATACACGTAACAAGTACACAGTTATTTCAGAACAGTATATCTGGTGGAAAGTGAAGAAGTCCTTTAGCCTTTTCTATTGTTACAAAGTTGAACTAAATGGTTTTTTTGAAGTATAGCTAAGGCAGAAGGTATTTTGGAAATTCGAATTCGAAAGTGAATGCTTCAAGATTATCATCAACTGTTGATCTAACGGTATCCACCTATATTTTTCAATTCTGGTTTGCCATGAGACTGGAATTAGATCTCCAAGTATATATGAGATAAACTGATATCATATTGCTCGTCTATGGGTTTTACCGTAAGAAAACGTTTGCTGTATGTGATGAAACATCACGCTTGTACTTACATAGGATGTGTATTCGAGAAATACTAACGCTATGAACAGTTCGTTGCTAGAGCCAAGAGCTAATCCAGCATCCTGTGAATGAGGTGCTCTGGAACTATGCCGCTATCCTTCGTGCGTCAAACAGGACAGAACTCATCTTCGTTACATCCTGTAAGTCACCAACAACAAAGCGATATTACACCGAGGAAACTCATATAGAGACGATAATCAACCATTTGGTGCATTTCTCACTTTAGTGCATTTATGTTGAGATCTTTTAACACGGCCCACATGCTACTTGAACCTACAGGCGAATCTCTCAGATTTTGTGCATTTTCTGACAAAGGTAACCCAGTTTTTGACTTTCAAAACTGTTAGGAGAAAAACGGCTCAACTTTGTAACAAATGTAGCAAAAACGAAAGGGCTTATTTTTTTCTGCTTCCACACACTGAAATTACTATGTACCTACCACAATTTTAGTTATATTATTTAATATTTCAAAATTATATATTAAAACAAACAATTAATAAAAGCAGTGCATGGCTGCAATATACTACACGATTACGTGATCTTAACACTGCAATAACAAAGAAAAATGACTATTAAAAGAAAACACACACGTTGTGTATACGATAGGTTAAAGGTAAAAGAAGAGAACAACGTAATCATGAGCACAACACACATACATGTGGCCCATTCTTTGCCTTTTCTCACTATGTGTGTGTTAGATAAGTTCAGAAAGATAATACAAGGTAACACAGAACAATCAAGACTCGCGCCGCAACGTTTTAAAACTCCTCTACTTAGACCGCAACTCAGCGATAAAAATCGCGACTCGCGACGCGACTACGCAAATACTACTGTTTCTATATCTATGATTGTCTCGGCACGACTCGCCATATATAGTAGTTAACGATACATTAAGGCTTATTTGTGCATGAGAGTGTAGTGTCGAGTCTAGCGTAGAAGTAGACTAAAGGTGTCGTGACAGCTTAATGATTCAACTCCAGTGTTGCCAGAGATGGGACGAAAGACGTAAGTTGCGTAATAAGAGAACGAAAGAACATGTCTTATATCTTTTTCGTTTTGCTATTCTATTTTTTTCCGATCAAAAACCGGCCGATAAGGATCAAAACGAAAAGAAAGAAATAGGAAAATAGGAAATGAAACCTATTATAATACCTCTGTCTGTAGTTTTAAAAAGCAATAAAGTGAATCTTTCTATAAATCTCTATTATATTTTATATGAATCACCCACAGCTCACCCGAACTGTCTCATGATGTAAAAGTAGCAAAAGAATACTGTTTCACTATGTTCACCACACACAATAGAGCACAACAAAAACATAGAATTCAGAACTATACATAGAAAGAAACACAAGAAAAGAATAAGTTCATCTGAAGCACGGTAAAGACCGACAATACCATCGGAAGCAAAAGTTTTTCTATAGACATCAACAAGACCATTGTATTTACGTCCATCACCTCCGTTCTTTATACTTTTAACATCATTAGCTAAACGTGTACGGGCATAATCAAGTGAATACACAAAACTTAATGATAAAATACCAGCTATAACACCACTTGCTACATTTTTGGCAAAATTAACCATATATGGATCGTCTTTGTTTTGTTTAAACATTGTTTTGATGTGATCTTGAAGGCAAAATTCATAGCCTAGTAGAAATGGTTATCAGTTTATTTTTGTTTTTGTTGATTGATTATAAATCAGAGCAGACCTGCGTGGGAAAGTATCGAATACAAGTGGCCAAATTACCTCGCCAAAACGGAATAAGACCTTCATTTCTGAAGGTTTGCCTGATACAATCAATAATACCAGTGTAGGGTCGGCTGATTGTACCTTGTTTAAGCATTTCACCTTGACATTGAAGAAGTAATTGTACACGTCCAATAGGTGCAGCTGCTGTTTTCGCAACAACAGCAGCAACAGCACTGAGAGCAAAGTTTTCAATAGGACTTAATTTAACCGGGGCTTTTTCTTTCTAAAGAAATATTTCATATAAGTAGATTTTAATAACCTGTAAAAACATGATTTACTTACTACCACTGCCATTACGCTTTACTATGATGTCGATCTAAAAAAGACTATTTGAACCTGAGACTTTTTTATGTATATTCCACGTTTAGAACGTTATGATAAAAAATACTTCTCTTTTCGCGTTTGTACAACACAGGTAGGTATCGAATCCGGCGAACCCGCACATACATATACATACAAGTCTGTATGTATGAAAGGAAAAATATGATTGAAACATTCTCTCTATCAATTAGAATACCGAGACGAAAGATGTCATAAGCTGCTAGTTCTATTAATAGCATCTCTTTCTAGGATTGTGAGAAGAATATACATCAAATATCTAATAATTTCTAAAGTAGTAGTATGAAAGTACCCTGACGAGAAAGAGTATGTATTCATTATGAATAACGTTTTTCTATTAACTATTGATACTGTATTTATGAGTTTAACCCTTTAACGGGCGAATTTTGGATAGCGAAGTTCTGTTGCTGCCGATGCTGCAGTCAGGTAGGCCGTGGCTTAGACTATCATGCACGTTGATCGGGTCAACAATATTGAGGTACTGCACG